CGCCAAGATACGGGATAGTTCTAGAAACAAGAGGGCGTGAGAACTGTCACGTGATCTCGATGACGCAACAATACTTATTGTTAGGTTAAGGTTTTTAAATTAGAGCTTAGTGATATATTTTGTCCTGCACAGTTAAATTAGGCTTAACATGTGTCTTTGTTATTTTCAGTTTACCTGTAGTTCATCTTACAGATAGATCCATAATTAGGTTAAATAACTTTTCTTCAGCACATAACATCTAATATATATGTTTATTTCCCTACACACTTACTTAAAGTTACAATATAATGACTGTTAAATTTTTGTAATTCTTTATTTTTATACTTCTTACAATTAATTTAATTTGTGAGATCCCCTAAGGCTGGTGTCCATCCTACCTTCTCCCACTATTCCTCGACTTCTTCCTACAACTGCCAAACCCATTCAGGATGACCTAGACTTTGTCAGTTTTCCTCCATTTGATTATGGCTTGTCTTCCCAGGCCTCCACTGCAGAATCTGCTAGGCCTACCTCAGTTTAATTTCCCATTCTTCTCCAGACATTGTTTCCTTTAGTGTATTTTTGTCTCTTTATTAGGAGATATACTTACTGCTAGCGAGGTTCTATTGCATTGAGTGATGTGGCTTCTATGGTAGCACTTCTCCCTTTGGGTCTGGCACATTTGTGATCTCTTCAGGAGATGCTGAATAACCCATGATCTCTTTCTAGGGTTCTCTTGGATTCTTCTTGTAACTTTCCCCCTTCCCTCTTTGACTATATGCATTGGTGGTTAAATGTATCCCCCACATTTTTGGGTTTACCACTTCCTTTCCCTTATACATATTTGTTTTTTTTCCCTGATGCTCATCTCCAAAGTTGGGGGGCATGGGTCAATCAGCAGGAGGCTTTAGAACAATTGTCTACAGATGAAAGGTCTTACCATGTTAATACCCTGGCAGTTCCGGAAGTCCAATGGGATTTGGCTAACTTTTTTCCTCTTGGCTAGATTTGACTAATCATGTTCCCTTCTGACTATTTGTCAGTGGTGGCTTATATCATATGCTAAGGGGACATTCTATCTTGTTCCCTTTATGGTCAACAGTAGATTTTGACATATGTCTCCTGGCATGTCGTGTTTTGTGTGCTTTTGTCTTTCCAGTCCTGACACACTTTCTCCCAAGAAGTGGCCTCTTGATCCTTAAATTTTCAGTGGCTCTGCAGAGTATACCTGGTACAGATGTGGTGCAATCTCCCATTTATAATCTTATTATCAGAGGGTTCCCTCATTAGGGTGTCCTTTGGATGCTTTCAAAGGATGCTTCTACTTTCTCTCTTGCACCAGTCCCTTCACCTATTTAGTGTGGGATTCTAGCTATGTGTATGAGTAGAAGTCAGGTACTTTGTCAGAAGTTATAATTTTCTTACACTAAAAATGTATTTTTGAAAAGTACTTACTTCCCACCCTTCCTCACCATTATTAAATGGTGTATACGTTACTGCCTAAATTCGAAGTGATAGTTGGGTAAAATAGCATAGAGGGAGTCATGAGTGTGTGGCACTACTGTTGGTGGAGGGTTGCTGCACAATAATTTGAATGCAAGATTCAGTTAAGCCTTTCCAGATGGGTCATGGATGAAAGGTCATGTCATTGCATTTGTTGACTTACATTCTAAATTTTATTGAACTACTATTTCATAAATTTATGTCAATAAGTTTGATATCAAACTGTAGATTATAATTCAAATTTTAGTGTTATACATAACTCAGTTTCTTAATTTAAAAGTAAATATTAAAATTATTATTTTTGTGTCTCATGTGGTAGGCTGAAAGTAGCACTGGTTCAAATTAGATATTTATGATGTCAAAATACTAACTCTATAGTTTTGTATGAATTAGGAACTAAAATTACCGATATTGACAAGCTAGAATATAAAATAAGAATCTTTTATATCTTCTTTTTGCTAAGATATTGCTCATTTAGTAAATCAAACACAGCGACACACAGCCAACCTCTTTTCATTTTTGGAAATGCTCTCTTATATACACTTACTTATATATATGATATGAATAACCAATCAAAAACTTAGAATGTCCCCCTAGTAGCTTTCTTAGCCATTTTAAATTCCTAGGATGCCATTTCTTTCTTTCAAATCAAGAATTCAAGGAGGTGGGTTGTGTCTTTACTCTGCTCGAAATTTCATATACTTTTAGACTGAAATGTAACTTAGCTAGTAAGCTTGATAAAGTATAGTGGAATTCTATGGTATTGATATAGTAATTTATGATTTTTTGGTTATTCAACTCTATATATAAAACACAGAAAATTTTATATTGTTTCATATCCTCCACCTGCAAAGTTTTTAAACTTTTAAGTTTTTAAGGAAGGTTTTCTTGTTGATATTGGTTGTTTTGTTTTCTTGGAACTGAAGGATGGAGGTCATACTTTTTTGGTTTTGCTGAAGTTACTCATAACTGCCCACTGTGTATTCATAGTTTTGTATTGTGAAATATTAACACTAAGATACCATCTCAAGTAGGGCTTGAGACCTGGAACATTTCATGAGTTATATAATTCTATATTGTGGGAATAAACGTTTTTTATTTGACAATTTGTTTTGAACGTTTATCTAATTCATATCACAATAAGGATTATATTAAATATGTATGATTGGAAATTTACACAATGGATAACTTGGTTTTGCATCTCTTAGTTACTATGTTAGGAGTATACTGCTCAATAGTCATTATTTATAGAAAACTAGTTAAAAGTTTTGTGTTTTTTATTTCATATATCAACATTTTTAGGAAAGATAATTTGAGATGTTTTTTTACAAGAGTAACTTTTCTTGATCCACATTTACAGTAGATTGTGTTCAGAATTTTATCCAAAGGTCTCTAGCACCTCTCAAGGGTTGGTTAATATAGTATGTTGATAAGTAAAATTGTAGTCAAAAGTCTTGAACATTAAAAGCTAATGGTTTTTGTGAAAATTCAGTAATAGGACCATAACTCCATAAAATGTCATTTATTGTAATTGTGGGCACTTTGTGAACTCAAAGTAGGGGAAAAGAGAATTATTACAATATTTCAGGCCTTTCAGTTATTTGCTTTTCATGTGAACCACAAAATTGGATTAGTTAAAGAAAATAAAAAAATTATGATAATAAATTCCTAATCCCTCATACTTATTACTACCATAAATCTATGAATATTGTGTAAACAGTATGTATGAGGTTTGTTAAGCCTATTTTTTAAAATATGTTAATACTACTTCATAAATTTCCTGTAGCTTTTTTTGTTAATATTTGTTGAATACTATTCTGGTGTTGTTATAATATTCATATATTTTTGTTTTATTATGAATAAAAAATACCATACAGATCTTTTATAATGTGCACCATATTTGTTGAATACTTGTACTTAACAATATGGTTACAAGTATATTTTCATACTAAAAAATTAAATGTGAAGCCTCATCTATCATTTGATTTACTGGTTTTTTGGGCATTCCACACCTCATCAGTAGCTGTGTACAAGAGCAAATTGGTGGTGGAGTATTTATTATATGTATAGTATTTTGAAATGTCTTTTATTCACATAGTAATCCTACATTTGTACAGGAATGTCAAAACTATACATCACTAATGCTACTAATTTATTCTTGTGAATAGACTGGGACTTCAAATTCATTTTTTGGTATTTTTAAACAGCTTACCTTGCTGAATAATTCACAAGAATAAATTAGAAGTAAATTGTTTATAGTGTGTTTTTACTGTTCTACAATAATATAACAACTATCAGTGAGTGTGCAAGTTAAACATAACCAAAGTTAACCAAGTTTTATGTTTGTTTATAAAATTTTATGTTCTCAATGTTCTTCTTCATAGAAGCATTTCCTTTTTAAATTGTAATTATTGGTATTGAAATATGCTTGTTTATCTTGATCTCACATTATCAAACATGTATATTAATTGAAAAGTATGAAAATAATAGGTTATGGTGTTAAAAAAATCTATAGTATGCTTGTATTGTTTAATTTTCCTTTATCAGTCGTACAACTGAACAGTTAATTCAAGAATCGGGATGTCGTCTTGACCATCCAGCTGCAGCAAAGTTTCAGACACATGTTATGAATGGGGAATGGTTTAAGGTATTTAAAACTTTATACCCAGTTTCCCATTGTTTATATGTTAGTTTCTTTTTAGGCTCTAATTTTTATTTCTAAATTGAAAGATATTTTTATACAAAGCTTTCTATGTTATTATTTCTTTATGTAACTTATATTTGTAAAAATAGTTATTATTTTCAATTTTTTAATTAAAAAATTGATAATTTCAGAACCATTAGAATCTTTTTAAAGCTACATAGAAAATCAAATAGTAAACTAATTGTATATTTATATTATACTAATGTCTTGATATTTTATAACTAGTTATAAAAATAAACTCTTAATCTTGTGTTTTATATTTGTTCATATATATATATCATGAGCTTATTTATATTGCTTCAGTTTGGATTACATGATTTAATTTGTGCTGAAATACTAAGTGTAAAATAAAATAGCTTCAGTTAACAAAATTATTTGTATATATCACATTGACTGTACTAGTAGTTCCTATTTGCCATTCACTATATATATATATATATATATATATTATGTAGCTATTAACATACCTTAATGTGATGAAGCACTCACCATGCAGGTAGTTGTACATATTATAAATGTCTTAATGACTTCGTAATATTGTACTTTGATATTTATCATAAAATAGCAGTCCATGGGAGTGCCTGAAACTTGTTAGACATATGTCAAAAATCAAAAAATTAATGGTTTATAGATAACCTAACCAAAAAAATGTAATAACTGATAACCCTGTAATTTCCTGATTAGTTTAGTTTTATTGTATATTATATAAAAGTTGTATTAGATATGAACATTTATTGTTACATGGTTTCAAAATTTCAGGAATTATGAAATTTTAACCAGACCTATTTAGGAGCTGAAAGTAATTTTTGATTTTAATATGTTAATTTCTACATTTCCAAATTTAAACTTTCTTTCTTCCTAGTTACAGTTTATGAATAATACTTGATGAATTCTAGGATGCCAGTATACTGTTGTGCCCCTCAAAAAGTTAACTGGCATCTATGAACTTTTCATTAAACATTTGTGTTTTTTCTTATTTATAGTAATACTTGCAAGATAATTAAACATCACAAAAAGTTTGGTACAGTAATGTAATGTCCAATATATATTGAAGAGAAGTTCATGTTGACTGCTGAGACAGTTGGAACTGAAAGTTTTTGTGAGCTTTACAGAATTGTACCTCATACAGAAGAGAATGCACAATTGATTCATCTGCAAAGCATTTTCAACATTAAATTGTATAAAAAGCAGTATATATATATTTTGTTTATGTATGAAATTGTACAGAATTAAAAATTGGGTCATGAAAAATTTCTATGGGTGAGATAAGGATGATTTTACTCCTCAGTGGGATAAGCTCCTCTCTTGCCTTCTAAATGTTAAAGATATTTGGCAACCCATATTTATGAAACTAGAATGAAATACCTTTTTATTCATATAGATTTGCAAAGCATTTTGTATGGTTTAATGAATATCATTTTCTGTTCTCCATTGTTAAGCTTGACACACAAGGTATGTCATTAAGCAATTTTGAAAATTCCCTATATAATTTTTTCAATGTGAAGACCCTTGGCTCCAAATCATTGGTAAAAACCCTGATTATTCATATTTGCATCCAGTATTGAGTGAAGTTTTTGGCAATTCATATTTCACTGTGTTTCATATATAACTCGTGTTTCCCAAATTATCTCCCCTAGACACACCTGGAACAACAAAAACAATGCAGCATTCCACTAATTGTAGCATTCATAGCAAAGTGAGAATAAAGCCACATACAAAAACATCTAGAAAGAAAATCTTGGTAAATAAAATGGCATGACATTGATACTGTTATTCTATTTTATTGTAATTGTTTATTGTTTTGTTAGAGAGAATTAGGTATTTTTGTAGCACACTTAGAGCTCAGGTGTGACATTGCTGTGTCATGACACACTATTTGGGAAGCACTGCATTATTGTGAACAGAGTTTAGCATTTCACTTTATTTGGACCTGTAGGCAAAATCAACCTTTAAAACTACATTAAAATAGAGGAACTAGAGACAAATTTATGTTTTCGGTTTTTGGTAACTATTTATTCTTTTTCATTTATGTTATAGTTTTTTTTTACAACCATAATGCCACTTGATACTAGTTAACATGTAAATAGGATTGTTTCAATGCATTAAATTCTATTTCATCTAGATACACTATTATCTCTTATTTATTGAGCTAAATGTAATTTTTATGATACCAAAAAGTATATTAGTGTTTTTAAAATTTAAAATTTTTTTTCAGGCAGAAATAGACCTCAGTGAGTTAAAGTCATTACTAGAAACTCCCCATGCTCTTGTGGTGAGTGTTTTTATTATCCTCTTTTTTTATATATCTATAAAAAACATAAATCACTGTACACTAACTATTATTTATTTATTTTTGAGAGTTATTGAGTTCTAATGTAATTTTTGTTAGTTTTTTTGATAACTTAAAAATATTTTTTTTGCACATTTTTAGCTGACATCAGACTGTGTTTTCCATAGCATTTCAAAAATCGGTGTATAAACTAAGATGACAAAATATGTTAATGTTGTTCTTTTATATATATATATTTTCTAATAATAATTTGGTATGAATACTTCTCAGAAGACTAATCTGGAACAGATATTATGGACAATGAAATATTCTCATGTCAGCAACACTTTTTTTTTCATGTGTGTGTGTGTGTGTGTGTGTACATGTTTAAATATAAAAAAATAACTAAAAAATACCATAAAACTGAGCAAGTTTGTGAGAACTTTGATAGAATATGGGTAATCGAGCTGATTATTAATTTAATAAATTTGTTATTGTTCATACAGGCTACATTACAGAACAATCACTTCCTATCTCTTAAACTCTCTCAACACGGGCTTGGTCAATTTGACTGACCACATGACCTCTTTGTACTCGTTCAAAGTCTTTGTAGATTTGATACTAACTTTTAATATATTATGTATATCTTCACAAAATTTGGCAGTCTTTCAGTAAGTCTTTCACATACAAAAAGAATTTTTAGTGAAGTATTTTTAATAAACTTTGAAAAATATTTGCCCTTGAATGTATTGAGTATTTGTTTTGAATAGTCTGTGTGCATGGTGATTTTCATGTTAAAGTTAAAAATACTCTTCTTTATTTAAAAAATCTCAAATTTCATTTGTGTAATCTCTAAAACCTCCTAAGTACATTTCAAATGTTTGTTTTCATTAAAACTTTATATTTCATTTGTTATTTTCTCTACCCTGACTCTATATGTGGTTGGTCAATTTGACTGACCTCATAACCACCAAAAAAAAAAATCTAAATAAATCTAAACTACCCTTTTTTCTTTCTAGAATGACTTCAAATCTAACATTAAAATTACATTTGTTTATCCTAAGTAACTTTAAACTGTAACAGTATACATCTATTTATAATAAAATTTATTGGTTTATTGCCCTTTGAACTGTGCGAAACATGCAGCTCATGTTACACTATTGAATTACCTTATCCATGAGCTACTCCGAGCTGCTCGCATTCATGCCTCGTGAAATACTTTTATTATATTATTATTATTTATTTTACCTTAACTAACCTAAGGAGATCCCTATTTTTACATTTTAAATAATATATATAAAGAATAAACATGAAAAACAAGAAATAAAGTACTTACCCAAGTGTTCTTTTCTGTCAACTATTAATGACACTTAACCCTACTTTTTTATACTAATGGCAGTAGTGTAATACATAATTTGTGTTTAATTAAATTATGCACCAAAGAACATAGAATAGTAACATGCAAAAAGCAGATAATTTCCTCTAACAATCACACTTTTCTGGCTTTCTAACTATGCAACAAGAGCCATTACAAATTCATCCAAGCTAGCCATTGGGAACCAAAGTTGTATTATAAGTGAAACTGACTATTCAGTGTTTTGAACACAATGTAATATAATACGTCATTTTATAGATGATAACCTTAACTTTCTATTGGCTTTAGGTAATATATAACTAAACGTAAAAGAGAACTATTAACAAATCCTGAAAGAGAGGATGTGGCAGAGGGTTCTGATTTTATATTTGATAGCTCTGTAACAAAACAGAATTGAAGACTATAAAAATTATGGTTTGTCTGAGTAACTTATGTTTAATTTCGTAATTACTGGAGGGATGGTGGAAAAAATAGAGAAGATACTTAGAGAAAATGTGTCACATGTGTCACACTAGGGGAAATTTAGGATTTTTTAAAATATTGTCTTATAGAATTAAGAACTTAAAACTTATATACTATTAAAATATGGATTATTAGCTATGATTTTATGTTATAGTAATTGGTATAACATAAACAAAAAGTAGTTTAATAAAATTTGGAATGTAAGACACAAAATCCTTGTGTCTTGCGCAGTACAGGATACGTGTGGCAATAGGGTTAAGTGAGTAGAAAGAAGTCACGTGGTCAGTCAGATTGAATGAATCCATGTTGAAAGAGTTAAGGCAATGAGAAAAATACAGAAAGTTTGAGTAACATGATGTAAAATTACAACAGTTGAGCTGCACACACAACGTACAACTCTTATCAAGTTACGTAACAAAACTTGTCATAACTATTGCCCTTAAAATAATTACTTTTAACACACTTGTTATGAAAACTAATTAATCATTAAGTATTAAATCATTAAATAAACTAAATAATAACTCTTACACTAAACAATCTTGCATATCTAACACCATGGACAGGCCTTATTTCTGTAAAGTTATATATATAATAATGTTTACTATGATTCTTAATATACTAAATGTATCATCATGAAATTTGACAAACCTTTAGTAAACATTAAAAGCCTGTTGTATACAAAAAAATCTTAATGTTTAATAAAATATTTATACTACAGATTTGTCTGTGAATGTCTGAATCTTTACTGAGTCAGTCAGACTAGTGTGAGTGAAAAGTGATTTTCATGTTAGGAATAAAATAACATTTGCTCTTCATACAGTTTTCATACTTCATTTACATAACCTCTTGAACCTCCTAAATGAATGCATGAATCTGTTGTTTTCTCTACGCTTTAGTAAAATCATCAGTGTACAGTGAAATTAAAAGTTGATAAATATGAAATAAAATGAGGAACACCCTTTTTTTCATTGAATGGATCATTTTGTTGAAGTAATAGTTTTTTCAAGATTTCAACTGTTGACCTTTTTCATGTTGTATTTAATTTTATGGTTTTATTGCATTAGATTACAATGTCCAAAAACTACTATAATTTAACTGGCTTTCAATCTAAACTCTAAATATGTTAAAAAAAATTCTGTTAACTGGTTGAAGCTGAACTAAAAACAATTACAAATAAGCCATTTTATGCACAAGTACAACTGTATATTAAAGGGAAATAACACTAACAAAATTATTAGCCAGAATATTGCTCTATCTATTGGTTATAAACATGCCTGTAATATAAGAACAGATGGTATAGATAAATTCATTCAGAGCTATGACAAGATTGGAGGAGCTTCACTGGTGAGTTTCACAAATATTTATATCTCAGTAATTTGAGAAGATAGAAGATTCACATTTTATATTTTGGCCTGTAAGTAGGTGTAGTTTGTGTTTTTAACTGTTTGTATGTTTTAACACCCTATTTTGAATGTAAGAATATTTGGAAAGTGTGAAATTGAAGCTCAGATGTAATGTGATAAGGAAGAGTGAAGATTGAGAATTTTTTTTATAATAATTCATTTTGAAATTAAGATATTACAATGTAGATGATATCTAAAATCTGAATTATAAACTATGTTTCAATGTCAAGTTTATGGATGTGCATTGATAATATAGTTGTTTAATTAAATTTCAATGTAACTATATAAAATGTCATGCATGCACTTTATTCTTGCAATGCACATGGTGTTAAATATAGATATATTCAAATAACATGTATTATCATGTGTAAAAAATATGCATCTAGACCTGCAAATTAACCCTATCACCCTGGGTATCCTTTACTGCGCATGACTGAAGGTTTTAGCGTCTCACATTCAAAATTTTATTAAACTAATTTTTGTTTATGCTATGTCAATTAGAATACTATAAAATCATAGCTAATAATCCATATTTTAATAGTATACAAGTTTTAAGTTCATAATTCTAAAAGGCAATATTTTAAAAAATCCTGAATTTCCACTAGTGTGACCCACATGATACATTTTCTCTTAGCATGTCATCATCCATATTTTATCCACCACCCCTCAAAAAAAGTATGAAATTCAACATAAAATATTCTATATAATCATTATTATTCAAACAAACCATAATTTTTATAGCCTACAATTTTGTTTGGTTACAGAGCTATCGAATAGAAAATCAGCCCCTCCTGCCACACCCACCTGTCGCATCCTCTCTTTCACAATTTGTTGATAGTTCTCTTTTACATTTCATTATATATTACTTATAACCAATAGAAAGTCAAGGTTTTCATCTATCAAATGATGTATTGTATAATGTGTTCTGAAGAGAATATCCTTAATTTTACTCACATTACTAGGTTCGTTCTCATGGGAAAGTTAACAACCAGCTTGGATGAATTTGTAAAGGCTTTTGTTGCATAGTTAGAAATCCAGAAAAATTTGAGAGTTAGGGGAATTTGT